GAAAGAGTGCTGCCAGCCCACGGTGGACACGGGACACTCCCAGGCAGATTCTGGAGTGGCCCAGGTCGGTCAGGAACTCAGGCTCAAATGTGGTCTCTGTCCATCCCAGTCCCTTTTGGGGCTCACAGGGAAGACAGACCTTAAATGCAGGGATTTGGTCTGACTTGCGGATAGAACGTGGCTCCACACTCAGGACCTGGACCGCAGCGGGGGCGGGGCTCACCTTGCCTTCCTGTGCCTTCTGTGTGAGCAGGGTCCTGGAGAGCGAGGAAGGTCGTCGCGAGTACCTCGCCTTCCCCAGCAGCAAGAGCCCCGGTGGAGGCCAGAAGGGACGCAAAGAGCTGCTGAAGGGCAACGGCAGGCGCATTGACTACATGCTGCACGGGGAGGAGGGGCTGTGCCCAGACTGGAAGGCTGTGAGTCTGGGCTGGGCTGGGCTGGGCAGGGCAGCCAGGCCGTGTCTGTAGATAGGGGACCCTAGCCCTGCACCCCTTGGCAGCACTGAGCTCTCCTCTGGAAATGGGACGTGCCCATCCAGGAGGCCTTTGGGGCCCACAGATCCTCCCACCCCTCTGCCTTCAGGAAGGTCCTGGCCAGGCCTCTCCTTTACAGGATGCCCTTTGGGTCTAACTGGGATGTTTCTCCTCCCCCCGCCCAGGAGGTGGAAGAAATCAGTTTCATCACCCAGCTGTCGGGCCTGACAGACCACCTCCCGGTGGCCATGCGACTGATGGTGTCTGCGGCGGAGGAGGAGGCATAAATGGGCCAAGTCATCAAGAGCAGCAGGGCCTCCGCCAGCCCTCTGAGCCGCAGTCCCTCCCTGGCCATGTCCCCTCCAGCAAGCACCACCCGTGCTGGGGGAGGCGGGCAGGGGCCTGGGAGAGCTGCAGCCAGTCCTGGATGAGCTGGAACCAGCGAGGCCCAGCACCTCTGGGCACTCGCCATAGACAGGAGTCAGGCCGGCCTTGGGAGTCCTGGCTGCCCAACCAGTGCCATTCTTTCAAATCGTTATTTTCTACAAATCTACAGCACAACCTAGTTTGTAACCCGTGGGTTAGTATGAGAACCGGGTTTCTGTACTCTTTGTATCTCTTCTCAAGCTTCGTCCAGGGTTCATTATTTTTGTCTGCTGCCATGTTGTCTCGCATGCCTGCACCCTCGCATGCACGCTGCCCGCATGCCACGTGCCACGCTGTAGCCACAGACCCCCTCACTCGGGCCTCACCCAAGGCCAAACTCCAAACACAATCAGAACCAGCCAAAGAAGCATTCCTGGACACACGGCCGCCGGCTCGCCACCTCCAGCCTGGACAGCTCATGAGCAGGGACCGTGAGGGCTGTGTCCAGTTACCAGCGAGCCCGGGCTCTTCCCCAGGGTCTTGCATTCAAGGGCGATTACATTTTAAAGAAAATCAAAAAAGTTAAGAACAAAAACAACCCTTCACTTTAAAGGGTCTGCAAGCCACGAGGGAGAACGCTGCTCCTCCTGAGACAGGCACAGCAGAGCCTGGAGCCTCCCTTGGAGACTCCAATCTGGGCCATGGAGCCATAGACAGGAATCCAAGGAAAGAGCATCACTTTTTTACAGGAAAAAGGGCAACTCACGGCATTAGCGGGGAGGGGAACTTCTGGTTTTGAAAATGATAGATTTGTAGCTTCTCTTCTGTCAAAACCAACACATCCTCTTTCTGCCTGATCCTGTCTCCCCTCCGGACACCCTTCTGGTTTGGGACCAATCTTTTCCTGGGGACTGTCCCCATCCACGTGCTGGCTGAGCTCAGGAACCGTCCACCTGCCTCTGGGTGGGGCTGCGGCTCTGTCCTCCCAGGCCAATCCTCAACAGCGACCCGATCTGGGGGCCCCGGACAAAGGGGCTGGAAGCCAAGGCACAGAGCAGCCTGTCCCCTCACCAGCGTGCAGGCTGGGGGTGGCAAGGCCAATGGCCACTGCTCGCCCCAGGCAGGGAGTGATACTGGCTGGCATCCACTCTGCCACCATGTGACCAGGGCCAGCCCCGGGCACATGCGCACAGCATGGCAGAGCCTGCAGGTGAAGCCCACGGCTCCTCATCCCACGGCAGCACTGCCTCTGCCCACTGGCCTTTTTAAACTCACCTGGGGACGCCCCCCAGAGTCACGCAGGGAGGGTTTTGTCTGCTTCCAGGTGCGAGGCCCCTTCGACTCTGGGAGTTGTTACTGACAACTCCCAATGGTCTCCCCTCTTCACAGCGCCCCAACCCATGTGCCCGCCTGGCTCGAGGCCAGTTCTGCCCAATGAGGCTGGGGACACACCAGGACCATGCTGCCAGGAGCCTCCTGGTGCCAATAAGCTGACGCTGTGCCTTGTCACCCACTGAGCTGCAAGAGGGACCAAGAGGAGGCCAAGGCCAGAGGCCAGGCCTGCGCTGGAGTAAGACACTCCTGAGAGCCACACTCACAGTGGCACTGGTTAGTCTGAATGCCCCTGGCTGGGGCAGCAGCTGAGCTGAGGGCCTCACTGCTTGGAGCACTTCCCTGGCCAGGCCCCCAGTCCCACCCCCCAAGTCAAGCCAGGAGGGGCTGCTCACCGTCTAGGGTGTAGTCCTCCTTGGGCTCTCTGCTGCACCCTTCCTCCTAGGCTGTGGCTCTCGGAACCCTGGCTAGGCTTCACTGGGTCAGAGGTCTCCAATCCCAGGAGCAGCCAGGAATCTGCTAACAGGTGGAGCTCAACGGGGCAGATGTGATGCCTAGATGTCTGGGCCTGAGCCGAGGCCCCTAGGCTGCGGGTCAGCTGTGTGCCCAGGACAGCAGCAGAAGCAGGGCCAGGGCTCCTGAAGCAGAGCAACTCCAGCACAGCTTTCATCCTTCAGAGGGGCCGCCTGCCTCCCAAGGCAGCTCGGGAGGAGCCAAGGCACAGGGGGCCATGCTTCTCTCCCTACTCACAGGGCGGCCTTAGGCAAGTCATACCTCCCTGTGCCTCAGTCATTTCCTGTCCTAACAAGGTCGCCTCTACCCAGCCTGCCTAGTGTCCAGAGCAGAGCTGGCCTGGCTCCCCCCTCCCCTTGCACCGCCCTCTGGCAGGGCCTCATCACTGAGGCCGCCATCACCCAGCCACGAGTTTCATCAAGCCTGTGCACCCCCGGGGCTATGTACAAGCCAGACTTTTCCATTTCGATTTTTAAAAAAGAAAGAAAAGAAATATCTCAGATGTTTCTGTGGCATCTAGGCCTGGGAAGGACGGACCAGGGGTCACCCAAATCCCCAAGGCCCTGTACCTGCCCCGGGCCCAGCCTCCTCCAGAGAAGGCAGGAGGCAGGGGTCAACTTTGGAAGAAAACGGTCATTTCATTTGTCCAGACCACCTTGAGTTTTAAGTATGGATATTAATCTTGATGCTTTTTAACTATTGTATTAACTTGCTGAGATTTAGAAATACTGTTTTAAAAAAGAAAAAAAGACTTTTTTAATTTCTGTATTTTTTTCTGTATTGTATCCTCATGGGACATTAGGGGTTTTATATGGTAAGCACACCTGAGGTTTTGGTAAGAACATTATCAAATATATATCCAGACGATTCTTCCCTAGAAGAAAAACAATCTTTACACCTGATAAAATATTTTGAAAAGAGAGGTGTTTTTTTCTTCCTTTACTGGTGCTGAAAGGATGGATAATGAGGAAAAAATAAAACTGTGAGGCTCAAGGCTGGTGTTCTCCACTCATTTAAGTGAAAAGCTGGGCTGGGCCCTGCTCTGATTCCAAGGGGCTAGGCGGCCAGGCGGGGCTGTGGGGAGACCACTGTGGGGGGCCTGCCTTTCCTGCCTCTCCCCACAAGATGGGCACAGCCTGGGTCTGCCCTGAACCACCAGGAAACCAGGCCCCTTGGGTTCTCTTATTCCCTCTGGAACTGGGAGTAAACAGCAGAAGGGCACCTTGAGTGTGGGAAGAAACAAGGCTGGGGCCTCCTCGGGGCTCTCTGACCTTCCCTGGCAAGGCAATGTCGGGGTGACTGCACTCATACCCATCCACCCCAGACTTCTAGGGGATGAGGTCCTTCTGCTAAAAGGGGGGCACACGGGAAAGGGCCGTACCTCCTGGCTCCCTTCTGATGGCTGGTTTCCTGGGTCTGCCTCTGAGGAACTGCTTTGGGACAGCCTCCTCCCTATCCTCTGAAAAGAAGCCTGGTGTCCAGGTTCTGGTCTTGGTCACTTGCTGGTGCTGCACATGGAGGCCAGACCCTTACAAATGTGGATTGGTGCTACTACTTAGCAAGTGAAAGGGTCTGAACTCGGTCCTCGGCTTGGCCCTGCCAGGGTCTTCAAGGCCTGGGGCCCAGCCATAAGTCAGTGACTCTGCCCCCAGAAGCCCCTCCTAGCTGAAGCAGGCAGGTGGGACTCAAAGATTCCCAGTGCAGGCCAGGCTAGGCTAGCTCCCACGAGAGCAGCATGCCTGCCCCAGCACTGCACAGCCAAGAGCAGCCCAAGCTGCCCAACCCAGTCAACTCTGGCTCCGCTCCCTGGTTGGGCAGGAGGGATGCTGTAGCCTTGGAGCTTTCTGAGCACGTCATAACCACTGCGGGGTGGGCTCCTTGGCCCCTCCTCAGCTCCAAAGCCATCCCCGCTTCCCACCTCATCTGGAGCAAGGAGCCGCAGTGCAAAAACACAAAAAGGGAAGAGGTCTCCTCCAAGCCCAGAGGCCGAGCCGGGCCCTGAAAGGAGAGGCGCCTTCACCTTCCTTTACAGAAAGCCACACCATTCAGAGCCTGGCGCCCTCAGCTGCTTTATTTCTTAACAAGTGAGGGTCAGCACCCGCGGTCCAGGGCATCTGAGAGCGTGAAATCCACAGTGACATCTCCAGTGTGGGGGTGGAACTCCACGGTGTAGGTGACGGTCTGGGGGCCACCTGGTGGCACTCTGGGGTCTAGGGCAGTGTTGAAGAAGTACACAGCCTGCTTGCAGTGGGGGTTCCAGCAACAGTACCCCTGCAGGGGAAGCAGCAAGAAGGCGGTGAGGGCTTCTGACACCCCAGCGCCCTCCTGGCCAGCCTCCAGCCCAGGGAGCTCGTGGTGGGAAGCTGCTGTTCAGGGCCAGGTGACCTGGGGCCGCTGAGGAGTTATCATCTGGCTGAACATGCCAGGAACACCCGGAGCGCAGGCAGGTGGCACGGCAGCACCTGCTCTCAGGGCCAGCCCACTATGGGACCCGCGCACACAGCACTACCTTGTCCTCCGCAGGCTTCAGGAGGCCGGTGCTGACCGTGCTGTCCGGGGTCAGGTGGTATTCCATCCACAGGACGGCCCCATGGCTCCTCCCGGGCCTGGGGGTGAGGGTGGGATGGGGGGTGGGAACGTTGGGCCAAAAAGAAAGCCGCACGAGAGACTGGCTAAGCATGGTCATGGCTCCCCTCTGTTTTTCAGAAACCTCTCGCCTCTTCCACTTCCATCCTGCCCCATTAGGAGGCTCCTAACACTCCAACTGACTAAAGGCAACTCAGTAAAATGCTGAGCAAGAAGAGCCACAACCCAAAGCTCCCACTCACTCCCCACAGCCTGGCCAAATACTCAAGAGTAACCCTGCGGCAAGTCCAGCTTGCTGCTGGAGCAGCCTCCTCGGCCTGAGGTCACAGAAAGGTTTGGCTCAAAAGGCTCAGAGAGGAATCCAGGCATCAAAGTCTAGAAGACCTCTCCCGGATACTCTGGATGGGCAACTGCCTTGCCTCCCCCTTGTCACAGGAGCCCAAAAAGGCTCTGGGCTCACGACCTCCACCCAGTTAGAAGAAAGTTTTTCCTCTGGGAAGAAGCCGCCCCTCCCCATGAAGGGAGCTAGAGCTGCAGCTGGATGGGCCTGACCATGCATCACAATGACAGCCCCTGCCAATTCCTAACCTGCTTTAATTCCCAAGAGAGTTCAGGAATATGATCCACTGGGTAACCATAGCAACCAAATTCACATTTCTCTGCAGTTGTGTGTAACGTGCTGCTTAGCTCAAAGGAAGCCTCAGATGTGGGAGGATCTGAGAGAGCCCACTCTGGCTCGCTCTCCCCACCCAGAAGCTGTGGGGACCCACTATACACTCAGGGCCACTCAGGGCCACTTCAGGAAGGGCAAGGCTGAGACAAGGACATGACAAGGCTGAGACAAACACATGAAAGTGGCCAAAGTAAGTGCTTAGCCACTCGGGCAATAACTATGAGAAAACAACCCTGCCACTTCCCCCACTCCCCCCACCTTGGAGCCCACACTCACCTCCTCAGCTCGATGGCACCCTCAGCACAGACAGGCTGCAGGGGGACCGGCTGCCGAAAATCAAAGGTCAGGATCTGCTGGGGCTCGCAGCAGCTGCGGCATGGGTACTCCCACAGTGGGTGGGGCTCGGCCTCCTTGCTCTCCCTGAAGTCGAGGGCGTGCTGAGAAGGGAAGAGAAGGCAGGGGTCTGCAGAGACAGAGCTGGGCGGCCAGGGAACAAGGCCATGTCCTCGTCTCCAGAGTTCATCTATGCCAGTGGCCCCTAACCTCCATGGCCCTGGTCCCTCAGGGTAACTGCCACAGGCACGTGGGGCAGTGGGTCCTCACAAAAGACCACAGGTGCCTAGCCCGACCAGCTGGCTTCTGTTCCTACCACCACTCACAAGCCGTTTCCTCGGTAAGTCACTCTAAGCTTCATTATCTCCCTTTTAAAACTGGATGACTGGGAATTCCCTGGTGGCGCAGTGGTTAAGAATCTGCCTGCCAATGCAGGGTTCGATTCCTGGTCTGGGAAGATCCCACATGCCGTGGAGCAACTAAGCCCATGTGCCACAACTACTGAGCCTGCACTCCAGAGCCGCTAAGCCACAACTACTGAGCCCGTGAGCCACAACTACTGAAGCCCGTATGCCTAGAGCCCATGCTCCGCAACAAGAAGCCACCGCAATGAGAAGCCCGCACACCGCAACGAAGAGTAGCCTTCCGCTCGCCGCAACTAGAGAAAGCCCACACGCAACAACGAAGACCCAACCCAGCCAAAAATAAAATAAAGATAAAATAAAATAAATAAAATAAAATATAAAACTGGATGACACTGCCCATCTCACGAGCTACCTTGAAGACCAACTGTCTATACTGATGAAAACACCTGTCATTTGGACACTTGCCCATTCAGTGACCCTTTCTCAGCACTACGGCTGCCAGATCACCCCCATACAAGGCTCCCAGTCTAGAGGGAGACAATTGGAAGACAAGCGAACACAGTGCCTGGGGGACACTGACCAGCTGAGAAAAGGGCTGGGCAGGAGAGCTGCCCGGAGGGGTGATCTCTAGGCTGCCTCTTGAAGGTTACAGAGAAGTTGGCAGCAAAGAGGAGAGTGGACAAAGCCCAGCAGGGAAAGGGCGAAGAGCAGCGCAGAGCGGGCCGAGCAGTGCGGGGTGACTGCTGGGGTGGGAGTAAGGGCTCAGGGAGCCTTACAGGGTTTTCCCGCACGGGACAGACAGGGCCAGACTTCGGGTCTACAGATTCACCTGGGCTCCCTGCAGAGGAAGGCTGACTGGGAGAGGCAGGAGGGTGCATGGTCAGACAACGAGAGATCAAAGTGCCCCAGACCAGACCAGCAGCAGCGGGGGAAGAAAACTGGCTCACAAAGGACCTGATGGTTATGGAACCCAACAACCAACTGCAAGGCAAGGCAAAGACTTGTCTGGAAGGTTGCTGGGGCCCTGAGCCCAGCAGGCAGGTATGAAGTGGCAGCAGGTCTAGGACAGGAGCACTGGAAGGGGCCAGGCTCAGGGAGGGGAAAGAGAAGATGGATTCTGGAAGCATCAGGTCACAGTGCTTGAAGTCATCTCGGTGGAGAATCCACAGCTCTTAGCTATTTGGTCTGAGCTCAGGGGAGATGCAGACACTGGCCAGCAAAGAGAGAAGATGGGGACAGCTATGGGGGTCTGGGCAGGGGCCTGGGGGAGACCTAGAACACAGGACACATTAGGGGATGAGAAGAGGGGAGGAATCCAGGAAGGAGCCTGAGAAGTGGCCAGGGAGAGCCCGGGTGTGCAGTGATTTCTAGAAGAATCGAACAGTCAGTGGTCTGCTGTGGAGAGGCAGGTAAGATGGAAACTGAAAATGTCCACTGGATTTATTTACTTAAAATATGTTTACACAAGTAATCCACAATCACTGTAGAAAACTGTAAACAGAAAGATAAGCAAAATGAGGAAAATATTAACCACTTCCTAATCACACAACTAACAGTTTGGTGTCCACTGCTCCACCCCTTTTTCTCTGCATGTGCAAATTTTTTTCTAATTAAAAAGAAATTGGGGCAACTTCCCTGGTGGCACACTGGTTAAGAATCAGCCTGCCAATGCAGGGGACATGGGTTCGAGCCCTAATCTGGGAAGATCCCACAAGCCGCAGAGCAACTAAGCCCGTGTGCCACAACTACTGAGCCTGCGCTCTAGAGCCCGCGAGCCACAACTACTGAGCCCACGTGCCACAACTACTGAAGCCCACGCACCTAGAGCCTGTGCTCCACAATAAGAGACGCCACCACAATGAGAAGCCCGTGCACTGCAACGAAGAGTAGCCCCTGCTCGTCGCAACTAGAGAAAGCCCGTGTGCAGCAACGAAGACCCAACACAGCCAAAAATAAATAAATAAATTTATATTATTAAAAAAAAATTTAATATTGTACACAATTTTTAAAGGTTACTTTCCATTTAGTTATTACACGTGTGAATTTTCTTAATACATAAAAATGGGGGGCTTCCCTGGTGGCGCAGTGGTTGAGAGTCCGCCTGCCGATGCAGGGGATACGGGTTCGTGCCCCGGTCCGGGAAGATCCCACATGCCGCGGAGGGCTAGGCCCGTGAACAATGGACACTGAGCCTGTGCGTCCAGAGCCTGTTGCTCCGCAATGGGAGAGGCCACAGCAGTGAGAGGCCCGTGTACCGCAAAAAAAAAAAAAAAAAAAAAAAAAAAAAAAAAAAATGGGATAGTGCTCCCTGCCCTGCCCTTCTAATGGGGCTCATGACTCTTCACATCCATCCTGGCTGAGCCAAATATCGCTGGCACTTTCATGACTGCTCTGGGTTCTGGAAGATGCAGACCCTGGTGGCTGACTCGATCCCCTACTGATGTACAAATAACCCTGCAGGACCTTCCTTCCACGTCCCACCCCCCTCCATGCTCTAGCACTTCCCCCTGGAATGGAGTCCCCAAAATGAAAATGGCTGGCTCAGAAGGTTGCCAAAATTGCCTTCTAGAGAGACCGTCCGAAAAGAGAACAAGCTGCTGACACTGGCAGGAATGGTTCCAGTGGCCTGGTGGTGGACGGGCCCCAACCCAAAATTCTGATTCAGGGGTTACAGCCCAGGGCCTAGAATGGCCTAATACCAGTCAGACCTGGAGACCCAATGGCTCTCAGGTTCATGCTCATGGTGAACCAAGTAGAACGGATACACCTGCCCTCGCTGCCCCCAACAGAGGAGCTCTCTGCACACTGCCCGCACTGCCCAACCCAGGTCCCTATATGGAAGCCACACGTCCCCATCAGAAGCCTGTGGCCATGTGGAGTGGGTGGGTGGGACACTGTGGGTGGGAGCTGTGGCCCTACCTACCTTAATCATATCATCCATGATGTGCACATTGAAGCCTTCACAGTCACCACAGGGGCTCCGGATCCTCCACAGGTCCTGTAAGGAAGGCACAGCCTTACTGACACCCACCCAGCCAGGGCACACCAACATCCGCACTCACCCAATGGGGGCGGGTGGGCAGGCAAGGGTTCTGTGGGACAGCACAGAGATGTCCACGCCCACCCAGGCACATGGAAGTGTGGTGACAAGAGCAGGAAGGGTAAGTGAGGTCAGGCTGGGGGGCTGCCCCAGGTCCAAACCTGAGGCACATCTTGCTGCTCCCGCAGGCCTGGAAGAAATGCCCACAGTTGAATGGACCCAGAGACACCAAAGACCCAGGATGGTTCCTCAAACCTGTAAAGCCTCCCATGATCCCAAGCCCTCTCCTATGAGGGACAATCAGCCAGAGCTACCAGGATAGTGTCTCTAACTCCCTCCTTGTCCATCCTGAACACCGGTTCATTGGGAAGAGCTCTATCAATCCGTTCTCGAGGCTCTACGCCTATAAAGAGAGCACGAGGACAGGATCCCAGGAGGGGACCAGAGGTGCACTCAGGCCAGTCAACGTTGCATCCTCTGTCTCTTGGACGTATGCCTAGGAACAGTGTCATTCTCCACATTCCCTCTTTGGCCATGAAAACCAGAATTTACATGGAATCTGATCAAGTGAATAAATAACACAAAAGAAATGCCAAGAAAATTAAGTGATGGAACCACTAAGCTACCAATGGATAAAGCCGTTCTTATCAAAGAAATATCAAATGACATTCACGCCACATTTCAGGTTAAAAGCATTTCAAAATCCTTTTAATAAAAAGTGCCTTTCCCAAAATGATGTTGTGACTGTGGTTCTGCTTTGATGAGAAAATTAAAATGAAGCTTTTCAATTTTTCTTGCATAAAGAAGCTGACTCGCCCATCTCAAAATGCTTTTAACAACGGGAGCCTCAGCTCTCTTTTTTTTTGGGGCCAGAACAGTCATTTTATTAACAGGAAGGGGGGGCCAGGCCCCTCGGCCCAGCGTGGCGCGGGCTGCGTGTGAGGTATGGTAACAGAATTGGAGCCTCAGCTCTTAATGAGAGCACAGCAAGCTGCACAGCTTATCTTCTGAAACTCTTAATTTATATTTTAAAATTATTCTGATAAGCCATAATTGTAAAATGACAACACACAGCCATTTCCATTTCATGTGCCAAATTACTTCATTTTTACAAAGGCAAGCCTCTTCTATTCAGCCCTGCAGTGTGATGACACAGAAAAACAGAGGCCCAAACTATTAAGACCCTAGTTGCTCCATCTGCAACCAAAGTCTTTACAAGAAAACAAGGTCCCCCCATCCCCCGCCCGAAAACTTCTGGGTGGCCTACCCTGAACTCCACGACCATCATGTGCAGCGAGGCAGCCTGGGGCATCACCACAGCGCCAGGCACCAGGTGCCTGTCCACAGCAGTCCGTACATACCAGAAGTACAGGTTGTGCCACGGAAGCAGGCTGGTGGTGAAGAACGGCTCACCCAGGAGGAGAGAAACCTGGCGATCAGAGCAAGAAGCAGGACCAGGGCATCAGAAGGATTCGGCTGAGGAGTAAAGGACAGGTTACAAGTTTCACAGGCACATTCATTCATTCATTCACTCACCCACTCGGGCAGTCAGTCAATCAACAAGCATGTCAAGGTCTGCACCTGCCCTTGAGGATACAAAGATGAGAAACAGACATGAGCCCTGCCCTCAGGAGTGCAGAGTGGAAGGTGTAGCAGACAAGGCTGGGGGCCGTCCTCAGAGAGTGCAGTAAGCTGTGACAGAAGCAAGGAAGGGGCTCGTGGAGAGACTCTAGAGGTAAGAGCATAGGGAAGGGCTTCCAGGATGGCATCCTGTAAACCCTACTCAAAGCCTTATCATGACAATTTATTATCAGCGCTAGTCTGCCTCCTTCACCAGGCTCCGAGACCACAGAAGTTGGGACAAAGTGGCGGCACAGTATTCCCAGCACAGCACCTGGCCCAGAGCAGATGGTCAGTGAAGGTTTGCTGATTAGATGAATAAATGCATGAACAGGAGACAGAAAAGCAAAGGAGTAGGGATTACAGGCAGAGGGATGGGCAGAAGCAAAATCAGGGGTGTGAAAGAGAGCAAGGCCCTTTTGGGAGCTTGTCAGACGAGCAGGTCGGGTAGGACAGTAAAGGGTGAGGCCACAGAGGTGGAGAGAAGCCAGGTCACCAAAGGCAGCTGATGACAGGTAAAGGGGACTGGACTCTGCCCTGGAGGCAAGAAGGGATCATGAAAAGCTTTAATCAGGGTTTAATATGAGAAGGAATGTGCTTTAGCAAGATCCCTCAGGAGTTCCCTGGTGGCCTAGTGGTTAGGATTCTGGGCTTTCACTGCTGTGGCCCGCGTTCAATCCCTGACTGGGGAACTGAGAGATCCCACAAGCCGCACAGTGTGGCGAAAAAAAGAAAAAAGGAAGATCCCCAAAGTATGCAGGAAGTAGGGAGGCTACCTGCAGGTGGAGCTGGGGACAGGACATGACTTGGGCGAGCACTGCGACAGTCCAGGCAAGGAGTGGGGAGTCTGTGTCAAAGGGAGGAGAACCAGACAGCAGATGCTGAGGAGCCAGACCACCCAGGGCTGGGCCCAAGCAGACAGCCATCAAGGACAGGGCCAGTCCAAGATGACACATGGGCTCCTAGTTGAGATGACAGAGATGCAGAAGGAAACAACGAAAACAGAAAGGGCTTGGCCCTGTTTATTCCCTGCTCCCCCAACACACTGAGGCAAGAATGCCCACTCTCACCACTTCTACTCAACAGTGACCTGGAGCCTAGCCAGTGCACCATATCAATGGCTTTCAGAATTTAAATTTTCTTTCTTTCTCTTTTTTTTTTGGCTGTGCTGTGTGGCTTGTGGGATCTTAGTTCCCCAACCAGGGACTGAACTCATGCCCCCTGCAGTGGGAGCGTGAAGTCCTAACCATTGGACCGCCAGGGAATTCCCTAAATATCTTTTTAATCCTCATCTATAAGGGAAAGAAAGAGCAACTTGTACACGAATGATCAGGGCAGCATCCTTCATGGTAGCCAAAAAGGAGAAACCACCCAAATGTCCATAAACTGTTCATCAATATGGATAAATAAATGTCCATCAGTATGGACAAATAAAATGTGGTATAGGCATACAGTGGAGTATTATTCAGCAGCAAAAAGAAATGAAGTATTGATTTATGCTGTAACATGAATGAACTTTGAAAGAAGCCACCTACGAAGGACTATACGTCACATGATTCCATTTATATGAAATGTCCAGAATTGGCACATCCATACAGAAGGAAAACAGGCTAGTGGCTGCCTAGGGCCAGGAGGTTGGGGATAAATAGGGAGTGACTGCTAATGGGCAAGGAGTTTCTTTCTGGGTGATGAAAATGTTCTATAATTGATTGTGGTGATGGTTGCATAATCTTATGAATATACTAAATCACTGAACCGTAAACTTTAAATTTCTTTGCTGCATGAACCGCATCTCAGAAAGAAAGCTGTTCTTAAAAAAAAGGCATGGGGGCTTCCCTGGTGGCGCAGTGGTTGAGAGTCCACCTGCCGATGCAGGGGACGCGGGTTCGTGCCCTGGTCCGGGAAGATCCCACATGCCGCAGAGCGGCTGGGCCCATGAGCCATGCCCGCTGAGCCTGCGTGTCCGGAGCTCGTGCTCTGCAATGGGAGAGGCCACAACAGTGAGAGGCCCGCTTACCACAAAAGAAAAAAAAAATTAACACTCTAACAATAAAAGGATGATATATACATAAATACTTTTTTTAAATGTCTGAAAGTTTACATATTCAACTAATATAATAAGTTATGTTAGAGACTGGAGTGAGAAATTACTGGGTTCCAGTAGAATTGTTGCTTTTTAGTATTGTGTGCATTTTTTTAAAAAAAAAAAAAAAAAAAAGGCATGGGAGGAAAACAGGCAAAAGGCTTAAATAGATATTTCACTAAACAAGATATAGAACAGCTAATAAGCACATGAAAAGGTGTTCAACATTATTAGTCATTAGGCAAACACAAATCAAAACTACGAGACATCACCACACACCCACTAAAATGGCTATACTAAAAAAAAAAAAAGAGGGCTTCCCCGGTGGCGCAGTGGTTGAGAGTCCGCCTGTCGATGCAGGGGACCCGGGTTCGTGCCCCGGTCCAGGAGGATCCCACATGCTGCAGAGTGGCTGGGCCCGTGAGCCATGGCCACTGTCGAACAAAGTAGCAGTTCAGGGTGTAACTTATCCTTCCTAATCAAAGATGACACCAATAGTCTTATATAAAAAAAAAAAAAAAAAAAAAAAAGAGACAATACGAACACGAAGTGTTGGTAAAGATATGGAGAAACTGGAACCCTCATACATTACTGGTTGGGATATAAAATGGTATACCTGCTTTGGATAACAGTTTAATAGTTTATTTAAAAGATAAACAGTGAATTCCCTGGCGGTCCAGTGGTTAGGACTTGGCACTTTCACTGCTGAGGGCCCAGGTTCAACCCCTGGTCAGGGAACTAATAACCCACAAGCCATATGGTGCAGTGGAAAAAAAAAGTTAAAACAAAAATATCACACAACCCAGCAATTCCAAGCCTAGGTATCTAAGGGAACCGAAAACACAAACCCTCACAAACACTTAACATACCCATGCTCACAGTAGCATTATTCATAATAGTCAAAAACTGGAAACAATCCAAATGTCCACCAACAAGTGAATGGGTAAATCAAATATCACACAGTCATACCCTAGAATACTACTCAGCATTGAAAAGGAACAAAATACTGACACATTCTACAACAGGGATGAACCTTTCAGCCATGAACAGTGAAATAAGCCAGACACAAAAGACCACATATTGTATTATTCCACTCACATGAAATGCCAAGAAAAGGCAAATTTACAGAGACAGAAACCACATCAGTGGCTGCCTGGGGCTAGTGGCTGGGTGATGGAAGTTCTAAAACTAGACAGTGTGACAGTTATATAATTCTGTATATTTACTAAAAAATTTTCAAATTGTACACTTGAAATGGGTTAATTTTATGGTATGTCAATTATATCTCAATAAAGGGGTTAAAAAAATGTTGGCAAGAAAGATGACAGGTTCCAGCTTTAAGGGCCTGTGGGATATGTGAGATTTGAAGACCTGGCTTAGACACCCACGATTCCCACATGGGAAGGGATGTGATGGTCCCAAGAGGAGATGCAACGGAAGAGGAGAGGACAGACAAGAAGAGAGCACCAAGGACACCTGCAGGGAAGGATCAAGTGAAGGAAGAGAGACCGATGAAGGACTGAGAAGAAGCCAGAAAGAGAAAAGGAAACCCTGGAAAGGCAGCCTCTTAAGGGCCTAAAGAGAAGTATGTTGAGGAGGGAGAGGCCCCTGTTGTGAGGGTGCAGGAGGCCAGGGAGATGAAGCGGCAGGGAGACCATGTCTAGTACCTAAGGTTACTGAGGGCCGGGAGCAGTTTCGGAGGCACACGGGGGACTGAGGAACAGATGGGAGGCGGAAGCGTGCACAGCAGTGCTGTGAAGGGAAAACGGAGGGGACACGATGTGCCGAAGTCGCTCCCAGCAGAGCTCGTCTGCCGTTGCTGAAGGAGCAGCCATGAGCCACTTGAGAGCTGTGCAAGTATTTGCTCAGCAGGCCTCTCTGCAAACCTCACCACACCCTCAACAGCTGCAAGTCTTTAGCTGGTGAGTGACTGGGGGACACACAGTGAGGTCCGGAGAAGGGGGCAGTCGGGCTGTCTCAGAGCCGTGCTGTCCAGACCAAACGCAGAGCACTCACTACTTACCTTTTTACCCTCCAAGTCTGCAGGTGTTAATAATTCAGGCCGTTTCTCTATTATATTAATTTTATCTTCCAAGTGGTTAGCCTTGAAGATCTTAGAGAGAAAACAAAACTATTGTTTTTGTCCAGAAAAAGAACATCTCAGTTCCTTTATCTGTGTGCAGGTCTCTGGCCAAACAGTTCTGGAGCACCACTTTCAGCTGCTTTGCAGAACTTCTCCCATCCAAAGGCCTCCTACAGACCTCAGATGAGATCAGGAGCAAAATGTCATAAGAGCAAAAGAAATTTCTCTTGCAGGCACACTGGCAAGACTTAGCTGTAGACTTGTAGTTCTGGTGGAGGTAGGTTATCCTTCAGAGAGGGAATCACTGGCCAGGAGGAGAAACACTGTCACAGAACCAACCAGTCAGGTCAGTTTGTGAGAAGTGACACCGTGGGCGCTGGTGCCCCAGAAACAAATGCCAAATTCAGTTCTATCACCGCAAAGATTTTAGTTTTTTTCATTTTATGTGAAGTGAGAAGAGAAGCCTAAACTTCTTCAGCCACAACAAACAAAGTAGAGTCTCAATGCTCACTGCTATTCAACGACAGCCCTAGAAGACTTCCAGGCCAGCTCTCGACTCAGGAGTCACAAGAACTTCACTGGCAGCTCCTACTCCTCCCAGTTCCCTTGGTACGAGCACTGCTTCAAAGCGATCAATCCCAGACTCAGGAAGGCAGGCCCCACAGGTCCCCTCATTATTTCAGTAACAACAATTATCACTTACTTTTTTCATCAGTCTATGAGAAGCTGCTGAATTCTCTATCGTAAATACCTGAAGAGGATACCATGCTATTAGTTGTAGGAGGTACACTTAACAGAGAAAGAAAACAAAGATTAAAATGCAACTCCAAGGCAGAGGACAACATCTAACTAACTCTACCTGTGCTCATTATCCCCCTGGGACAGTACAACATTCTGCGCTGAGCCTAGCGAGGTGGCACACTCAGACTCGGGAGCTGTGGCGATGGGGCAACAGCTATAACCTGACTCCTGCCCGCACACGAGGCAACAACCCCTCAGCCACCAACGCAAGCACGCCTGCCACATATGTGGCAGCTGCACTTGAAAGAGCTTTAGTCACAAAACCATGTACCCAGACCACATGACACCCGAACTCAAGAGCGGCCGTCAGGAACCTGGTAGAAGGCACATGTCCAGTACCTGCTCTGCCCCAAGGTGATGGGCCAGCATGGAGAGCAGACTGCCATCACTGATGCACAGGCAGACACTGTCCGGCTTAAGCACCTGCAGAAAAGAACAACCTCAGCACAGATTTTCTTACAATGTCAAGAAATTGCTGTTGACAAACTGACAGGAACATTTCCCATCTGACCCCCTAACTTACTCTGTGATTATTCAATCTTGATCTCCTCCTCACTCCATCCCCTACACAGCCCAACTGGATCTTCCTATGCCCTAACACCGGTCATACCTGCCTCCCAGGCCCAGGTGGTAACCAGCACCCCCCTCCAACACAACCACCTCCCTCACCTCTCCCCACCATCAGGAAAGACTGTCCTCAAGCCATCCTAGAAGGCCCAGCTGAAGGGCTGCCCTGTTTATCAGAGGCAACCTCCCAATCCACGACCACAGGCCTCTTCCCTACCTGGTCACAGCACAGAAAGCAGTAGGCATGCCAAATGACTCCCCAGAGCAGGAAT